CTGTGTAGCCCCCAGCTCGTGCTGCTCCCGGGTCGCTTGGGATTGTTGTGCGCTTTATAGAAGTCTCCAGCGAGGACAGCACGCGCGCCAGCGCCCTCCTGCAGCAGCAGCAGCAGCAGCAGCACGGAGCAGCGGTTACTGCAGCAGCAGCAGCTCGAGCAGCAGCAGCTGCTACAGCAGCAGCAGCTCCAGCAGCATCCGCACGCGTCTTGAGCCGGTCGCATGCATCAGCAGCCACCCGCGCCAGCAGCAGCAGTAGCAACACCAGCAGCACCAGCAGCAGCAGCAGCTGTGGACCTGCGTTTGGCTGCTTCCTCTTCTTCCTGCTGCGTCTGCTGTCTGCGGACATCTCCAAAAAGGTAAAACAAAAGGCCCGTGGTGGGCGGCAGCAAAGCTGCTGAGGCCCCGCCGTCTGGGTCTCGCTGCAGCAGCTGCTGCTTCTGCTGCTCCACTTCGCCCAGCAGCCCCCGCAGCGCAGCAGCAAACGGCTCGATCAGCGGCAGCGTGTGCCGCTGCTGCAGCGCGTAGTTCCCCGTCGCAGACACCAGAGACACAAAGGCTTCCATCAGCAGCCCCCGCTCCGACTGCAGCAGCTGCAGCGCAGCACCCCAAACACACTGCGACGCAGGTCCGCAGCAGCAGCAAGACGACCAGCAGCAGCAGCAGCAGCAGCAGCAGGGTAGCTGCCAGCAGTAACAACCGATGCAGCGCCGCCAACAGCAGCCCCAAGAACACTGCCAGCAGCAGCAGCAGCAGCAGGAGGCGCGGACCTGCTGCTCAGTTGCTGCGTCCTGCATCTTCTTCTGAATGTGCTGCAGCAGCAGCGGCAGGTACTGCTGCAGCCCCTCAGAGCCAGCACTTGATATGGAGATGAGAGTCTGCAGCGCCCGGCGGCGGCAAAGGTGAATTTGCTGCGGGGCTGTCAGCGGGTAGGCCCACACGTTTTCTACGTGAGACGCTGCGTTCTCGCTCGACAGGATGCTGCAGCACAGCAGCAGCAGCAGCAGCAGCAGCAGCAGCGGCGGCAGGCGCAGAGGAGCATGCGGTCATAGGGAAGCTGCCGCGAGGCTGCAGCAGCAGCAGCAACGCCCGCAGCGGACAGCTGCACCCGTTTTGCAACCCTGCGTCAATCCAACAGCAACAGCAACAGCAGCAGCAGCAGCAGCAGCAACAGCTCACTGGTGGAAGAGCAGGTCGAGGATGCTTTTGATGTCCAGCGGCGGCGAGTAGTTGAGAAGATAAGAAGCTCCAGAAACAAATTCGAGTCTTCGGATTTCTAGAAAGTAGTCGTGGAGAGAAACGCCGCTGCTGCTGAAGGTTGCTGCCGCTGCTTCGGCGCTGCGCGCTGCTGCTGCTGCTGCCTTGGCGCGCTCCGCAACCGCAACAGCAGCAGCAGCACGAGCAGCATCAAACAGCGGAATCCTCACGAGGCCCCCGAAGACCCCACAGAGCCGCAGCAGCCAGGGAGAGTCGACTGCGTTTTGCGGCAGCAGCCAGGCTGTGACAGCAGCAGTTGCTGCTGCTGCGCTGCCTTGCTGCGCTGCTGCTGCTGTCAAGCATGCGCTCTTCAGCCGTTGCACCTGCGCCTCCACGAAGGAGCAGCAGCCGTCTAGCAGAATGCAAGAAGGGAATAGAGAGGGCTGGTTCTTGTCTGCAAGTTCGTACTGCTTTCCTGCTGCTGCTGCCTGCAGCACCAGCAGCAGCAGCGAGTCCGGCGACCCCTGCCGGTGCAGCAGCAAAGGGGACTCCAGCAGCTGGCTGCAGACTTCTTCTGTCCACGCAGTCGTGGCCTCTGCAGCGCACAGCAACCAGAATAAGCCAAGAAGCGCTGCTGCTGCTGCTGCTGCTGCTGCTGCGCTGGTGATGCTGCAGTGTTTGACCCGCTGCTGCTGCTGCTGCTGTTACTGTTGTTGCTGCTGCTGGCGAGTCTAGGCTCACCGGCAGCGGCGGGAGAAAGTCCAACGAGCGTCGTGAGGCCCAAAAGCGCTGAAGACTTTAGGCCGGCAAAGCGCGCTGGGAAATTCTGCGGGTCGCAGCAGCAGCAGCAGCAGCAGCAGAGACTCACAGCAGCAATCGCTAGCGGCAGAAGAACAAGGCAGCAGCAGCAGCAGCTGCAGCAGCAACAGCTCAAAATATGGACTTGGGAAAAGCGCACATCTGTCGAGTCCCTAGCGACGGCATCTTCCGCCTCAGCGTACATCGCGACCTGCAGGCAGCAGCAGCAGCAGCAGCAGGAGCGTTCCTCCCGAGGCCGCAGCAGCAACGTTTCTCGACTGGGGCGGCGAAACAACCAGCAGCAGCAGCAGCAGCAGCAGCTGGGGTGTACGTACAGTTTGGACCCAGTTTGCCGTGCAGGGGAGCGGCAGCAGCTGCAGCGCCTCAAGGGCCCTTAAAGATGCTTCCAAAGCCCGCAGCTGAGCCAGCATTTCTTTTCTTTTGTTGCTCATGCGCCGCGCCTCCTGCTCGTCTTGCTGCTGCTGCTGCTGCTGCTGCTGCTGGGCGAGGAGCTTTTGCTGCAGCGCCTGCCGCCGCGCCGCGAGCGCCCCCACTGCTGCTGCTGCTGCTGCTGCTGCGCTGTCGCCCACAGTCTCCAGCAGCCGCGCAGCCACCGAGTTGAGAGCAGCAGCAGCAGCAGGCTGCAGCAGCTTGACAATCTGGGGGTCTCCCATGCGGAGGCAGCGGACGAAGGAGACCGATAGCAGCGCCCTGGTGTCGAGCCACTGCGGCAGCTGCTGCTGCTGCTGCTGCTGCTGCGGCGCCTCCTCTGCAGCACTCAGACTCACCAGCCTGCGAAGAAGTGCAGCAGCTGCTGCTATCCCGTGGCAGGCAACCCGCACAGAGGGGTGCATCGCCACCCGCAGAATACCGCTGCGCAGCAAAGCCCCCAGCACCTCCGGCTCAAAGTGCCGCAGCACCTGCAGCAGCAGCAGCAGCAGCAGCATCAGCAGCTACAGGCGAGCTCTACCGTGCGGGCTGCCGGCTGCTAGCCAGTGCGGAAGGAGGCAACAAATTCGTAGCCAGAGAGACGCAGCCCGCAAGCCCTGGCTTGATGCAGCAGTTGCTGCAGCAACTGCTGCTGCTATTGCTGCTGCTGCTGCTGCTGCTCACGTAATCTCCGCAGTTCTCTACAAAGTTCTTCAGGAGGCCGGCGACGAGGAGTTGAAGCGCGAGAAGCTGCAGAAACACCACAGGCCAACACTCGCGCTGAGCAGCTGCAGCAACAGCTGCTGCTGCTGCTGTTGCTGTTGCACCTACTGCAGCAGCAGCAGCTGCAGCAGCAGCTGCAGCAGCAGCAAAAAGTCCTCACCTCCTCGCCCACAAAGTCTTCAGTAACTGGCAGCGCCAAAACAGAAGCAGCAGACTGGAGAAGGAGGCAGCAGAAGGCAGTGGCGCTCTCTGCGCTCACGCCTTCTATCGCCTGCAGCAGCAGCAGCAGCAACAGCAGCAAAATAATAACCTTTCATCACAGCAGCACCACGCATGCAGCGCTACTTGGAAAACAAGCCGAACCTCTAGCCAGCAGCAGCAGCAACACCTCTCCTGCCGCTGGCGCCACACACGCGCAACCTGCAGACGCTTGCAGCAGCCTCAGCAGCAGCAGCAGCAGCAGCAGCAGCGGCAGCAGCACCTGTTTCTTTTGTCTTTTTCTAACGAGCCGCTCATTCACAACATCCAGAGCCTGCAGCAGCAAACCCTCAGCCCCTTGAAACTCCGCGCCCCCCAGCCCCCAGCTGCAGAGGCAGCGCAGCACTGCAGCAACGTCGCCCAGCGCAGCGAGGCACCTGCAGCAGCAGTAGCAGCAGCAGCAGCAGCAGCAGCAGTTGAGGCAGAAGCAGCGTTTGCAGTGAAAGAGACGACTGCGCGGAAGAGGAAGATGCAAAACTTGCGGCGTATGAAGCCTTCCAGCAGCAGCAGCTGCTGCTGCTGCTGCTGCTGCTCCTGCTGTCGGCTCGCCGTTTGCTGCTGCTAGTGCTGCTGCTGCAACTACCGCTACCACGCTGCTGCAGCCACGGCTACTCTGTTCACCCTGCGCTTGCTGCTGCTGCTGCTGCTGCTGCTTACCTGATGCAGTCCAGAGCCAGGGGCTGCAGGTGCGAGCGCGCTGCTGCATCCGAAAACAGCAGCAGCAAACAGCGCGTCAGCTGCAGCAGCAAGTTGCTGCAGCCAGTGAACTCCTTGTGCAGCGACTGCGCAACTTGCCGCCGCAGCTTCCCACTCAAAGACCCCATCAGCGTGTTGTTTTCCTGTAGCAGCAGCAGCAGCAGCAGCAGCAGAATGTAGCGGCAGCAGCACGCTGCAGCAGCAGCTCTTCGCGCTGCCAGCGCCTACGCAGATGATGGAAGCAGTTATGCGTGGCTCCAGCTCCAGCTAGCCAGTAGAACAGCTAGCCAGCTAGCTAGATAGCTAGCTACATAGCTAGCTAGCTG